TTTTAACCCTGTTTGAATAAGCATGAATGAGGTTAAAATTGTCTTAATAACAATAAACCCGCATCATTTTTATGCGAAAGTGGGTGTGATAACTTGGAGCACCATTCCTTGGCCTCGACAAGTGCCATCATGGATAAAAAAGAAATCCTTTAAAAACAAAAATCATAAAAAAAAAAAAAGCTCGGCAGGAAACCCAAAAAGGGGGCTGCGCAAAAATAAGAGCAAAGAACCCGCTAGGAATCCCACGAAAGGGTGACCTAGGCAAAAATTAGGGTTGCAAAAATGAACAAAAACAAAGGTCCGCTGAGACGCCACAAAGGGGTGTTTTAGGCAAAAATAAGGACAATAAAAAAGCAAAAGAAATCCATGATGGTACCATGAGCCGAATTCAAAAAGAAAGGTTCAAGGGAAGCTATCTAAGTTGTCGAATCACAACGTCAATAACAAGACTTTCTTAACTTCATAAGTGTTTAATCAAACAAGCCTAAACACATGAGCCTACCTTGGCCAGCCATTCTTACAAAAACCGTTTTCAAAACAATAAATAATCCCCTCTAAAACACAAACTTTTGAACAAAAAAATATCTTTCCTTTCTTTTCTCTTGTCCCAAACGATTTTAGAATAATCTAGTGGAAACATGGAGATATAGTGGTCAATAGGAAGGTTAATACATCTTCTAAAGGAAGGGAATGATCACTGGGTTGATGACACCAATCTCGATATAACACGCATCATTCCTCGGTTAAAAATTTTAAATTTATTTGTGTAAGGACATTACTTTTTTTCCCTCATTTTAGTATGTACAATGAATTTGTGATTATTTTTGTAATAATTTTTAATATAATAATATTTATGAAAATTAAACTTTGTGAGTTATCATTATTACTCTATAGGTATTTAATGTTTTTTTTTATATATTTATTATCTTAAAATAAAAGAGAAAAAACTATCATTAGGTGACAAATTATTTATGACATGTATATTTTTGTCACTAATAATAAAATTATAGTGACGATTTATAATTTGGTCATTATTAAAATTAATATTAGTGACAAAATGAAAATTAGTCACAAATAATATATAATTAGTGTCAAATTATCTTTTCGTCACTAAATTATTGTCACTAAAAGGTATCAATGGTTGGGGACGTTTCCTACCAAATACAAAAAGGTTTCATATCATAAACACCTAACTTAGAAAAATAATTTGTTGTGGAATTCGCCTCTCTCTCAGGACATGAATAACAAAGATCAAACAATCTGTAGAAAAAAAAAATGAAGAACTTTCAACACTAAGACAGCATGCGGATGGTTTTGAAGATAAACACCAAAATGTAGAATGTTGACAATATTCAAATTATCCACATCACAACAAATATTACTCCTGAGAAGGTTCTAAGTGTACGTAGATTGAACATCAACTCAACATTCATCAGGTCCCTATGAGCCTCGTAAGATGAGAAACCAAACACTCAAACTCCATAATTATTTATTTATCACACTATCGATTATAATAGCGGTATTCAAAGGTAGGAACTAGGAACTCACATTTAACTAGATGTGTCAAAGTGAGTCAACCCGATTCACATGGGTTGACTCACCACGAGTTAGTATTTTAAACGGGTAAACCTAACCCGATTCACATTTTGGTGAGTCAAAAAAATTTCAATCCGACTCGACCCACCACGGGTTTATGGGTTAGGTGGATTGACTTACCATATTTAAAAAAAAAATTAATTACATGTTTCTATTCTTAATAAAAAAATAATTTTAATAATTTTTTATATATGAAAATAAAGTCTAACATTGATTCAAATGCAAATACATAAGAAAATATCAATCAAAATTTTAAATAAAAATCACATAATATATATATGTTTAGTTTTTTAAAAGTGGGTTAAGTGGATCAACTCAACTTACTTAAACTGAAACCCGCCTAACTAATGGATAAAGTGAGTTAGATTGAAATTTAATCAAAATTGGTATAAATATTTTTCCTAAGCCTAAACCCATGATGAGCCTAATTAACCCATTAAATTTGACCCATTTTGACACCTCTAAATTTAACTTAAGAGTTCCTCCTATAGAACTATTTTAAAATATATAAATATAATTAAATAATTAATATTTTAAAATTTAATAAAACAACTAATTAATTAAAATAAATTATAATGTTCAAAATGATAATCATCCCAAAAGAAATAATATATAAAAACAGAATTTATACATTAATCATTAATTTTTAGAGAATAAAGCCAAAAAAATAAAAGAACTATCAGTTATAAAAATAATATTCACTATTGTTTTAGTCTGTAAAGCAAAAAAAAATAAAAAATGCAAGAGCTATGATTAAACATTAAACATTAATAACAAAGAAACAAAATCTTAAAGTTTTGGGCCTTGAAGTTGCCAGGCCCAAAGAAAAGACGAAGCCCGAGCCCTTATCCGTGAGTGTGTGGATTCAGAAGTTAGGGTTTGGTGGCTCCATATTTATATAACGAAAACCCTACTTTGTTCTTCTTCGTCGTAGCACCGAGACAGAGAGGGAGAGAGAGAGAGCGTGTGTGCCTTCTCTGGTTGTGAAAATGGTTACTTTCAGGGTGCGTATGGTTCATAGCATTCGGTCCCTATCTCATTCTCCTACTCTTGTAATCGATTTTGTTGAAAAGTTTTTTGTTTTGTGGTATTTTGCAGTTCCACCAGTACCAGGTCGTTGGGAGGGCTCTCCCCACGGAGTCAGATCAGCACCCCAAGATCTACCGCATGAAGCTATGGGCCACCAACGAGGTTCGCGCCAAGTCCAAGTTCTGGTAAACCCCTTCGTTTCTCTTTCGACATGTCTAAATGTTTTTCATACTTTTTGGTTTTTTATTTCGTAGATCTTCAATTTAATCTTTCGTTTTTATGGATTCCAGCAACCGGAGTTAATTGTTTTTGTTTTTTTAATTCAGGTATTTTCTGAGGAAACTGAAGAAGGTTAAGAAGAGCAATGGTCAGGTCCTTGCTATCAACGAGGTATTATCTCCTTTCTTCATTGTCTTGTGTTTTGTTTTTAAATCTCTCGATCTTTTGCTTATGGCTGTAATGTTTTTTTGAGTAGTTATTGAAGGATAACATGTCTTGGGTGCAAGGGAAATTGTTATTGATGTTTTGTTTTTGCTGCTGGAAATGTAGAGTTTCGCGTTCTAGTTATAATGTTTGTTTGAGTTGCGTTGCTTGGATGTTGTTACTGGTATTAAGGTGAATGAGTTTATGCTACCTGTTCGATGTTAATAGGAATATTACGGACTATAATTGAGGAAAATGGCATCTATAGTCATTACAAAGATTTCGTCATGTCTGTTATTAGCCTGGTGCAATGGTTTGCTTGTATTGCAATACCACTATCGGGTCTCTGGTTCGAGACATGACATCATGCCCTCACCCAAATCAAAACCATCAACAACACAGCAAACAAAGATTTCAGCATGCTTTCCATTATGAATAATAAGAATACAATCACTAGTTTTTGTCAACTTGGCATGCTCAAGTGCTGCAAATTTACATGTGAAATTTTATTTTAGTCAGACTATAAGATGGTGATGTTTTTTTACCTTAGTATGCAGTGCAAACTTGGTGTACTAAAGCTGAATGTCTTTGTATGTATTTGCTTTAAAGTAAATTGCTTCTATGATTACTTGTGACCATGGTTTTTTAGTTTCTTATTATGGATGATGTTTTACTTATAGTTGGCATCAAAACTGCATCACCTTTGGATTTTTATATATGTTCAGTTGTTTTTGCTGAGTTGACCATTGTTTTGGGTAAAAGTTTGTTATGATATAAATCTTAATTCAGTATAGCATATGCATGAACTGTTGTTCTGTTCACTTCTTGTTGTTATACCTTAAAGAAGAAATTGCTTTCAATTGTTGTTCTACCTTAAGAAATTGCTTTCAATTCTAGTAACAACACTATTGGTATGATGTTTCCCTGTGCCCTACCCTGTTGTAATAATAATGTTATGTTTTGCTCTATCAATATTCTGTTGAATTAGTTTGCCATTGCGTTTTTATTGATGGGCTTTCTTGTGTTTGGCAATGCTGCGTCTGTATTTAAAGTTTATTTCAGCTCAGTTGGAAATACGTTCAGTAAAATTAGTTCTGTCAGCAATTTCCGAAGGTTATATTGATTATAGTTTGTAATTTATCCATCGTCTAATTATTTTATTTTGCAGATTTTTGAGAAGAACCCAACCAAGATTAAGAACTATGGCATATGGTTGCGGTATCAGAGTAGGACTGGCTACCACAATATGTACAAGGAGTACCGTGACACCACTTTAAATGGTGCAGTTGAGGCGATGTACAACGAGATGGCTTCTCGTCACAGGGTCAGGTCCCCTTGCATCCAGATTATCAAGACTGCAACTATCCCAGCTAAGCTTTGCAAGAGGGAGAGCACCAAACAGTTTCACAATTCTAAGATCAAGTTCCCATTGGTTTTCAAGAAAATTAGGCCACCTTCCAGGAAGCTGAAGACCACATACAAGGCTAAAAAGCCTAACATGTTTATGTAATGTGGTTGTTGAATGAGTTAAAATATGTAAGGGTGTTTTTTACTGCCAGATTTTGTTTTGAGTTATTTTAGACTATCGCTATTGGGTTAATCTTTTTAAGTTTCTGTTGGATATTTATCTTGATCATTTTGATAATGGAGTAGAATGGAACAAATTTATATGGCTGTCAATCTTGATGTTATTAATCTGCTGAATAACTCCCATGTCATTAGAAGGATCAAGTCTACCGTACAACACTAGGAATGCAAAAATTCCTCTGATTATATAACTGGGTTCATGAAATGATCCATCGATTACCCCCATATTTCCATCTTGATTCAAACATATGGACGTCCATTGCATACACAAAATATTATGTTTTACAAAGTAATTTATTATTATTGTTATTTTATTGGAGGTGGGAGAGAAATTATATTGAAACGATCTAGAAAAGTTGTAGAATATCAGATGTAGCAACAAATGGGGGTTTTCTTTGGGTCAGGAGGTTTGAACCTAGTTGTTATGGCACCTTGCAATAACCAATCCGTTATAGCAATTATATTGAGTATTATTTTTAAATGGAATTGAGCAATTCAACCGTGTATCAAATTTTTTTTTTATAGGGTAGTAATTAATGATACATCAATAGTTTTCACTTGCAAGATTAAATATAGATAGAATAATATAATAGTGTACAGAAAGATAAAAAATGGTCGAAGGTTGGACTTTTTTGATTAAATGATATAGATTCTAATTAGTAAGGTATTGAGCTGGACTCGGTTCAAATCGCAAATAACCGGCTTTACTAATTTGATTAAATGTCTTCAAGATTCTAATTAGTGCGTACGGTCTGTTTAGTAGGGTAGAAGAGAAATAAGGGAAACGAGTAAATTTTACAATTTTTTTTTCGTCCTTGAAGCCGATATCAGGAAAATTTTACAATTTGATTTGAAGAAAAAATAGAAGGGAAGTTTTGAATTTTAATCTCGCTCGCTTTTTTACTTTCTCTTTAACCGACCAGAAGAAAATTTTACTTTCTCTTTTACTTTCTTAGTATTATTTTTTCCTTTTATATTTTCTTTCTTCCCAACCAAACATTATACGAGTTGACAAGTTTGAGGAAAATTTTTTTTAGTTAAGATGGTTAATGTAGCAGTAAAAATGATGACATGAAAGAAAATGTAAAAATTATAAAATATTATAAGAAAATGTTGGAAAGGAAGCACAAAATTGCGTCCTCTAAAATAATTTTTTACCAATAATGAGAAATTTGACCAGTAAGCAAAGTAGAAGTGACAAGCATATTTAAGAGAGAACAAAATGCACCTCCTAAAATAATTTTCACCTCATTAAATAAATATTGAAAACACATGTAGATCTTTCCATACATTATTGTCTCCTTGTGGAATGAGATCCATGTGGGAGAGTCCTATCTCCTCTTCCTCATTATTCTCTTTCCTTTCTCAAGATAAAACTTCTATCTTATTCCTTTATTCCCCACGGATAGATGAAAAATTTTCAAAAAATAAAAAATAAACATATTCGATTCACACATTTAAGTATATTTTAACAAATATAAAATTATAAAATATACATTAGTGTTAAATTATACTAAAGAAAAGACTAAAAATACATATATAATTTATAATTAAGAAATTAATTAAAATTAATTAAATTATGTTATATATATATATATTTACAAAATTAAGGATATATTAATATTAATTATTTTTCATTTTTAATGTACAGGCACCCCACTATGAAAGAACATCCATGCTCAAATTAAACAATGTCACTGCTATCTCTAACCAATGAAAATAATATTTATCCTTAATTCCTTCCTTATCTTTGACCAATTTGGAAATTTTGAAGAGTTAACTTAGTGGAAGTGGCAACCACTTAGTCATTTAGAAAGTGAGTTGGGGCTTAAACTTAATCTTCAAAAACTTATTTGTAAGATGAAAATTATTTTTCATTTATATAACTATTATAGCTTATCTCCTAGTCAATATGAAATCTTCAACACATCTCTCTCACACCGATAACTAGAAATTTTGAGTGTGAAGATTGTTAGACTGAATATTTGTAGGTAGTTCAATAACGACCTAATAATGAATGGCTTGATAAGTCTAACAACATGCAATATTTGCTAGTGTATAGATTTTAATATGTTCTAATATCATTTTAAAAAAGTGAATTATAAGTTTAACTCAATCTTACAAAATTGATTTATAAGATAATGATTACTCTTCACTTATATATACTATTATAATTTTATATCTAATCCATATGATATCTCCATCACGTAAGAAACACCAAAATGCACCTTATAAATAATTTTCACTCTCTAAACAAAAGTTGAAATCTCTTTCCACACGTAGTCCAGTTTCCTCACCTTTTCAATACCCCAAACCATTTTTATTTTTGTCAGTGCGTCTTTAATAGCCCAGTTAAAATAAAAAGCCCATTCCCATGATTACAAAGAAACATACAAACCTTACCCTTGCTCACAAAATGGAAGACGTATCTTTTGCTCACTATAACAAGATAAATGAGTTAATTTTTTTAGTTTCAAAGTTTCAAATTTTGGAAGGCACATTCAAATTTTAACAGCATTAAGATTATCCTTTCCCATGTATGTATGTATTTTTATTTTTATTTTTAATTCGAGATTCAAACCCGAAATTTCTAAACTTAAAGATTAAGTGTAACAACGAACATTGGTATATCATATTAGTATTTGAAGTTAAAAAAGTATTAAATAAATCTTATAAAACATAAATTAACAATAAAATATTTAATATTATATTGATATATAAAATTTGATATAATAAATAATTAATTTTTTTTGATTATATACTTATAATTACTCAATTTAGATAAATTTGACAAATAATAAACTCCATATATAGTTAAGGTTCAATAATTAATTTTTTTTTATATAAAATCATTAATGATATAAGAGTATAACTCATAAAAATGTATTTTAGTTTTTCTATATTATTATGTATAACACAGGTCCTAAATTTAAACCTTGTTATTGTGATTGTAATTTTGATTAATATAAAAATATTAAAATTATGTAATTTTATATGAGTTAATCACCTATACACTGCCAGTGTAAAAAAACTTTACACTGGCAACTAATCAGATCTTTTAATAGTGTCATGTCAGTTGCTTATTTAATAAAATAAAAATAAAATAAAATAATTTAAAAGATCTGATTGATTGCCGATGTAAAAAAAACTTTACACTGACAGTGTATTAGTGATTAACTCGTTTTATATTAGTAATTTAATCTTCATCAAATAAATAAGATATTTTTTTACGTGAATGTGAATTAGATCAATTCTATGTTGTTATTTGTGTATCTCAATTATGATCTTAAATTTAAGTTCAAAATATGTATATATAACTATATTAAATACTAGAAGACAAAAAAAAAAATACTAGATCATTCAAGACAAGGTTTTGAATAAAGATATAAATATGTTAGGTTTAAACTAGACAAATGTTATATATACCTTGTTGAATAATATATATGCCCCTTTTCAATTTTTTTAAAATTTCTTAAATACTTTTTTAACTTATTTTTTGAAATAAATTTTATTTCCAAAAATTATATTCTTCATTTGCTTCTTTTTCTTTTGCTCATTTTCTTTTTTCTTTACTTCCTCTTCTTTCACTCATTTTCTTTCCCTTTGGAGGTGGGAGAGAA